CTTATTGTTACCTGTAGGATTAGGATATGGAATACTGGAAATAAATGAAGTGCATATTATTTTTACACACACACACACACACACACACACACACACCTGTTTTTCTTACTGTAAATCTTAAAAGCAGTATACAATAAAACAATTTGAATACAATAATGCAGCCACTAAGCTGAAACAATATAAAAGTAACATTAATTATAAAGAGAAGAAAAACAAAAAAAGAACCATTAATACAGCATTAATTCAGTGAAATCTTGGAATAAAAAGTGAATTTTCAACAGGTATAAAAATATATATAATAGTAGGTGCCTCATAAATTTGCAGGGAAGGTCCACCTGTAAAGTAACTGCAAGAGAACACTTCTTTGTTCTCAGCACATGCAAGATCTTCCTGGACAACCTTAACAAACAACGTAAGTCTGTCAGATATGTGGTTCCAACTAGCTTATGTCAGAAACAAAACCTTTAACCTGGCTCAGTAACTAACTGGAGGCCACTGTAGAGTCTTTGGAAACAATGCATGGCCAGGTGTTCTGCTAAACACACTAGCTAACTGTTGCTTCTGGAACAATATCCATGACAGCACCTTACATAGAACATTACAATAATCTACCAGCATGTGAACAATTGTGGCCAAACTAACCTATCCAGGAAAGGGAGCAGTTGATATACAACTAAAGTTACAAGCTCCCTATATTGCATAGGTTATTGTGCCTCAACTGATGATGATGGCCCTAGAAAGACTTCCAAACTATGTGCGTGTTCTTCTTAAATGAGGGCAACCCCATAGGTAAGCTCCTAATTCCCTTATCTGGGAATCACCCACAAGGTCTTGTCAAGATTCAGCCTCAATTTATTGGCCCTCATCTATTCCCTAAATGCACCCAAACACCGGTTTCAAATCATACTCAGTTACTCCTGGTTCTGATGTTATGGAGAAGGAGAATTCAAGTGTTATCAGCATATTGATGATATCCAGTCCCCAAACATCTAATAACCTCAGGTAGTATTGTTAAACAGTATTGAGAACCAAATTGCACTCTGTGAGTTTCCTCAGTCCAGCTCCCTCTTCATGTACTGGGATATACACATTTATATATTCTTGCTGATTTTTTTTTCCAGATAAGAGCTGGAATCCAATCCATCCCAACTGACATTACACCAACAAGGTGCACACTTGCCTTGTTTGTTCATATGCAAGTTATTTCTTTTTTCACCTTTTTGGGAGCAAGATGAATTACTACAAAGATGTAATGTATTCAAAAGAAGAAAAAAATGGAGCTCCCTCTCTCTTATAAGGAACAAGTACTAATTAGTTTGTGACAAGTAATGTCTACTTTTGAAAGGAAAAGCCACCCACATATCAGCCTTCTGAGATAGACCAGATCAGGAAACCAACTCCATAGTAAGACTAGAACTATACTTTATTGAGACAGACTACAGCAGCAGAATCTTGCAAGTTTGATAGTGTTTCTCTTCCCCACCCTCTTATACCCAGTTGAGTCAGGGAGGAGCCAATCTGAGTCTCTTCCTAATATTACCTCCTTTCCCAGGGCTTAAGAAATGCTTTTGCCCTTTTTGTTTATGTAACCATTTCTGAATATTTGTTTAGGTAACCATTTCTGAATATTTGCCTCAAGGTTATCTCCATAGCTCTCTATATATCATGACACAGCTACATCCTTATACTGAGTAAGATGAGCAAAGGTAATATTCTCATATTACTCTCTAATGACAAAATATGTATTATTAATTTACAAAATACTGATGCACTGATTAATAGTTAGGACACATGGTTAATGCAACAAACCATTTCCTAGTGTGATGAGCGGTGACCAAATTTGAAATATAAATAAAATAAATAAAATAAACATTTAATATATTAAAGTTACTCAACTTAATTTTCACAGCAACCTCTGCTACTTAAAAAAAGGAAATTGCAATGGAGCAAACAAATTAAGCAGTAAATTATCCAAAATGTCTATTTAATGAACTTTCTATTTAGTAGTATTTACATGCATATTTTACAATACATTAAAAATTAAGACACACAAAAGTTAACAACAAATATCCAGAATTCAATCTGGATTTTGAGTCTCATTTGCATGATGCTTTCAACCCGCTATATGTTTATCTTTTAAATGAAAAAGAAACACATGAAACAGAAAGCCATGCTTGTACAAACCTTAAATAATCAAAGTTAGAGAAAAGTAGAGTTGTAGGGGAAAAAATAATAATAATCAAAACTGCACTTCTGTAAATAATATTGCTAGATATAACCATATAGCCATGTTGAAGAGATTTGGGGGTCTTAGAATATGACTATGTTGAAAAGAATCACCCTTAGCTATTCTGACCAGTAAATATCCCACCTACATTATGTGGTAACTTTCCTCAATCTGGATGCCCTGCAGATGTGTTGATTTCAATTCCCTTCCCAGCCAGCATGGTCCTTGGTGAACATTTGGAAGTTTGAGCCCACATACCCGAGAATGAAGTTGTCATAAGAGTCCTTTATGAGTAGAATGATCTACCCGCCCTACACTTGAATTCACTGTTAAGGGGCAAAGAATAATGGAACCACCATTCCATCATGTGGACATCCAGGTCGTTGCTGAAGGTTTAGTGCAAAATCATACAATAAAAGTAAAGTTATCTATACGGTTGAGTCAGTACATTCATAAACATGTCAGCCTGGACATGAGAGATGAAGTGAAAGTGTCCATTAATAATTTGATCATCTGAGAAATATTCAGTATTACAGAAGAGTATTTTCCAAATGAGCATTTCAGGCTGCTGCTTTAAAAAATGTCTTTACTTTTTCAGATTTCATCACTGAGCATGGATATTAGCCACCGTATAAGTTTCCTTTTTAAAAATCCAGCCATGCATGAGAGGCCAAATTATTTCTGCCAATAGTTCTTAATACCTTATAGAAACTTTTTCTACAGGGCATACTACTCTTTAATGAGAAAGCCAAAAGGCTTCCATGGAGAAATGGAGCCAAGAGCAATACTAGTTATAGAAATTAAGATCTTATAATACAGTAGAAAAGCCTTCTGATTAAATCAGATGTAAATTAAGTTACTCTTAAGTTCCATACAAGAAAATACTCATTAAATACTCCAATGTTTAGATAACATTGCTTTTTATTTTAAACCCTGCAGAAGTGTAATTAAACACGTTTTCAGAAATGTGCCTGCCAATCAAGTCATCGCATTATGCAACATAAATAGGCAGTCAGGAAGATGGAAGTCTGCCTGCATCCCTCAGATAAGCAGTACAAGCTCCCAGATAAATAGATGAATTCTTGACCCTCACCCACCTCTATCCTAACAGGCCAAGAGAAAGCACAAGCACAGTTACTGTAGAACTACCAATGTACTTTCTCAGATTCAATTTACATAAGCTTTGAACCTGAAAAAAGAAGAAATAATAACAGGTGTTGTGCTTTGAAGAAGTTCTTCCCAATAATTTTTTAGCATGCAAACATATATCGTTAATATTCGTTTGAAAAGTAGCATTTTATGAAATATTTTATTATCTATTTAAAATAGTGGATAAGTAAGGTTACAGGTAGTTCTTGACTTATGACCACAATTGGGACTGGTACTTCTGTCACTAAGCGATGTGGTCAAGTGAATCACACCCAATTTTACAACCTTTTCTGATGTGGTCGTTAAGCGAATCTGGCTTCCCCCATTGACTTTGCTTGTTGGAAGCTCCCTGGGAAGGTTGCAAATGGCATCATGTGACCCCGGTATGCTGCAACCGTCATAAATACACGCCGGTTGCCAAGCATCCAAATTTTGATCATGTAACCATGGGGATGCTGTGATGGTTGTAAGTGGGAGGTCTGGCTGTATGTTACTTTTTTCAGTGTTGTCATAATTTCAAATGGTCATTAAATGAATGGTCATAAGTCGAGGACTATCTGTATTTTAAAGTTAACAAGTTGTTGACATGTATTCCCAACAGCTATCTATTAACCAAAAACAGATGATCCCTAAAAAAAATCACTTTGTTATTTGTAAGATTTAATTGAGACTGGATTGCTGAAGCAATAGTACAAGATCCATGCAAGAAGAAAAGAAGCATCCAGTGAGTTTACTACACGGTATTAGCACAAACACCTTTTTTGAATTCAGCCATGAACTGGATATTGTGTATATCATATTCCTAACCAAATGTAATACGGTGTAACTAATGTCAGTTCCAGCTTTTTCAACATATTTAAATGTATTAATTCTTTTGTAAGAAAGCTATGTACCCATACCAAAAGGCACAACATTTAACATACAAATATAAGATTCTATGTAAGAATTGATTTCACACAAAACTACATGCTGCATGCTGATATGTCAAAGACACAGATTTTAGTTGTAGAATCTTGCTACCACTTTTGCAACTTACTACTTGCACAAACTTCTGAACATATCAGAAAATGGAAACATAAGAACTTCAGCTGAATGTCGATGTTTGATTTATAAGTTTCATTATTAAATAACTGTTATCAATAGATTGGCAGAACTTGAAATGCTACTAAAAGCAGTAAAAAGAAATAGTCCAAATGTAACTCCTATATTAAAAGTTACTCTTTTGTTATTTGCTTATTAAAAATCCATGATGTTCTATTGAGAAAAAGAAACTGCTCAGCAGTTTGCAATATAAGTGAAATGTCATATTAAAAACCAGTGACTAATGTATCTGCATTATCACAAGTGTCAGTAAAATCAAGATTAGTACAAATATAAAATGTGAAAGTATTTAACATTTTAATATTAAACATTTGTATTTGCATAAACAATCTCCAAGAGATTTAATCTGCATTAAATCTATTTTAGTCACAAAAGAAATTGAATATTTAAAACACTTCAACAAATAATTAAATCTTTTTAGTAGATTTAACTCTACTAATTGTATAGTAAATTGCAACCTATCATTTGTAAAGAAAATTGACCTTAAATGTATCCTCAGTTATGTGATACACTAAAAGTATTCCAAGAGACCGAACAGCCTCCCCACCTCTGTCTTCTTTGTGTATATGGTCTTTGTGAAGTTTTATGAAAAGGAAGCACTGAATTCATGACAATAGGTATTGAGATTTGATATTCATATCTTTCCAGCATTTGCACAATCTTCTCACGACTGACCCCATGTTTATTCCTCCTATAAAAAAGAATAATTTAAACAGATTCAAATCTGATAATCTTGAAGTACCTCCTAGAATGCCTTCAGACTGCAAGGGCCAATATATACTTCAGTGGAAAAATAGCAATTGAGCTGTTATATTGAACATAAATGATGTTCAAAAAAGAAGCAGCATTTCTTTTGCCTTAAATATACAGCTTATTCGTGGATGTTTTTCATTTAAAATAAATACATTAAAACCTCACAATTTCCTGCATATTTATAATTATCCTGAGGAAACAAATAGGCAGGTACCAACAAGGATTTTTACACAGACACAATGAAGAGGTCAAGAGGGGCACAATTAGTATTTTTTGTTGGAGATTGCTGCTTAATAATTTCTTGAACAGTCTGACATATATTTCTTTATTTACTGGTCTTCATTTCCTTTGCCTAACTGCTACCAAGTATCCTGGCACAGGGTACCACTGAAGTATTGGACTTGTATTATTTGAAATGAACCACTGAGCAAGTTACTGATAGGACTTGCATGTAGCCTGCAAGTCCTAGGGAGTTTGTGGATCAGGATAACTGAATAACAAAGGGGGATTTTTAAGTGTGGGTGAACTTTCAGAGGAATCAAAAAGGTAGAACAGGCTTGTGAATGGAACTCTATAAGCATGAAAGGGAACCCTAATTACAAGACTGATTATGTGCCATGAAGTTGGTGCTGACTCTGAAGAGACCACATAGGTGTTGTGTGGGTTGGGGAGGGTGTGCGAGAGGTGCTGTGCAAACCAGGGAGGGTGCGAGGGGGTGCGCAAATAGCCGCCACAGCATGAGTACGGAGGCCTGGGGGAGGGGGTGCGGTCTTCCCTGCCGGCTTCTCCTTTGATTTTCTAGGGAAGCCTGCAGGGAAGGTTACAAATGGTGATCATGTGATCTTGGGGCATTTGGCAACCAGTCATAAGTGTGAATGGGTTGCCAAGCACCCAGATTGTGATCACATGACTGCAGGGGTGCTGGGACAGCTGGAACTCCAAGGACCACTTGTAACCACCATTCATTCAGTGCTGTTGTGACTTTGAACAGTCACTGAACAAATGGTCATAAGTTGAAGACTACCTGTATTAGATGGAAGTTGCATAGATTTTTTCAAAAGAGTAAAGTGTAATGCAAATCTTACTTTTCTAGTTCTTCAGGATTAAACTTCCACCATGTATCAGGTTCATGGAATTCCACATCGTAGCCTTTTTCTAGAGCCTAAGTAAACAAAAACTACAGTTATAAAAAGAACATCAAATATTAGCTTTTCTGATCTTGTTTGCAATCCTGTATACACTTACTTGGGAGTAAGTCCTATTAAACTCAGTGGGATTTATTTTAAGAAGATATGTATAAGATTGTACTTCAATTTCAGCACATTTAACGCAATACTTTTTTTATTCCAGTAAAAGTTTTAAGATTTACTGAGATTTATATAGATCATAATAAGACAAAGGTAACACCAGATTTAACTTATGACAAAAATGATTGATACATTTACAGAAATTAGATTTATATATTAAGACAGAAAAGTAAAACTCCATTAAAAGTTGCTGTTTTATTTACCGCTTTCACATAAGGCTTCATTTCCCAGGCCTGTGTATTTGTGTTGTCTATAATAATGGGGGATCTTCCTAGATCCATTGCTTCTTTTGCTGCAATACATATTATAGTAAGAATTCAATTATACAAATAGCAACTAAAATAATTAAACTTTTAAAAACTTCCTGCTAGAGAACAAAAGTTGAAGAGGCTTATCATCTCCCTGTTCACGTTTGTGAGCTCCCTGAATGTCTCTGGTTGATTATGCACCAGCACAGAATGCTTGACTAGACTAGTCTGGCCACTGGCCTGATCTAGCTTTTCTTAAGTTCTTAAGACTATTTTTAATATAATAAGCATTTTCTAATTTCATAAGATCTAGCAAAATGTTTTGATAGCCATTATATTTTCTGTATAATATCATCTATCTTGTCTCACCCTTCCCATTAATACCCAAAGATGCCCCAAATCTGTATTAATATATAAATGGTCAGGTAATTTTTCATACAGAAAACTGCAAGACCAAGTGCTGAGAAAGTAGAATCTACAAGACAAAACAATAAGCCTAAATTAGTTATCTTTACCCTTAACATTCCAGATTTGTATTTATAGAGAAGACAGACACAAGTCAGTTTCCATTTACCAAAATTTCTTCCCTCACAACAAAACAGAGAAAAAAATAGGAAGGAACCATGCTCAAAATTCAATTTTAAATTTGCCTGCTGTTTATAGGAATACTACTGCATGTATCAATGAATCTGTCACAAACTCTCATAGAATTATATTAGCAATTTAAGTGCATATTTCATTGTAAATGTTTTTATATTAATATATCTTAATATTTTCACACCTCGGTTTTGGTTCCACTCATGAGCAGCACTAAGCTGAGAAACATTGTAGGCCCAACATCCATTGATCTGATGGAAGTAATCATCTGTACTGAACACAATGCCATTACAACTCTGACCAAGGAGAATACTGTCAAAGGAATAAAAAGCAAGACAATTACCACATAACCAAATGTTGTTTTTGAAAAAGAGAAAACCTTATACTGAAATTTTAGCAATATATTTCCAGTATATTTTTGGCAGACACCTTAAGACCATGACAGTTCCTAAACCTAATTTCTCATTATCTTTCACATTTTTCTCTGAAGAATAAGTCATTCATAAATGATATTTCACAAGAATTTATTCACTTCCATATCAGATAGCTTACTAAGTTATTACTTGATTGAATATTTCTGCTTTCTTACCTATCTTTCTGTCTTCATGTGATGTGAAGAAGCTATTCCAAAGAATACTAATCATTATTTTCTACCCTTGCTGAACCAACAGGCATATTTCATATTTGATTTTTAGAGCAAAACTACTGCAAGACCTACCCATCAGCATTACTCAGAAGGACCCCTTTATCCATCCATCAGTAATTTTTAAAAATTCATCCCCCATAAACAACCAATAAACAGCCAATGTATATACACTAATAGTTTAATTTCTGGTAAATACTAGAACGTTCTGCATGAGACATGTCAATTAAAGTGCTGTGACATTAAAAATTATACCCCGGATAGCATAATATAAACATTTCTAACAAGTCTTTAAAATTCTCTTGTTTCTATAACATCTTTAGAAACCAGTCTATTTGTTCTACCTCAATTACTGTACTCATATTTCAACAAAAATGTTTGGACCTATTTCTCAATCCCCTAAAGCATACTACTAAAAGAATGCATGTTAATTACATTAGAACATAAATATTTATGGCTATATTAATTCAAATTATCCCCCAAATCTTACAGAATATTTTTAATTAATGAAATAAATAATCAATAAAATGTAGTCTAATAGCAAGAGAACATGATTTACAGATAAGATTCATACTGGCTTTTTGTGGAATCAACAGTCACTGTATGTCCAAAGACTTATTTTGTTGGCTGGAAGTTAAAAGTTATGGCAAACCTGATACAACACCAATCATCTGAAAACTCAATAATTTCAACAGCTTTAAAGTTTGCTTTGTTGAAGAAGATTTTGCCAGCCTTTAGGGCACCTTAAATTGACTACTGTTGCACAGTCTTTATCTTTCACATTTTTGCACATATAAATATATTTATACAAACAAGTAGTTTGCTTGGCTGATTTGTTCATGCTCACATACAAGCTTTTTTCATTATTTTAAACAAGAAGGAAATACAAACAAGAAGTAGCTGATCTGAAATTGTCCAGAGCTCACAATCTTCTGATAATTATAAACAATGTATTTTTGTTTCTAAAATGTTAACACTTGGGTTAATATTTGAGCTTAAACAAGCAAGTTAAAGAGTACATTTTGATGAGTAATTTAAGACCAGTGGCCAACCTCTGAAAAAGTCATAGGTGACTTAGATCTAGTGCAGGTCTGGAGTTAGAAAGGAGTAAGAAGTAGAGAGGGAACAGAGTAAGAGGAAATAGCACTACAGAAGTGGAAACCTGCATGTTACATTGGATCTAGCTTACTAAATTTAACTCCATACAAGACAGCCTATGATATAAAATATTTGTATTTTATTCTTAAAATGAATTCATGATTTACTTACTGAGATAAAGTTGTCTTTCCAGAACCTGGAAGCCCTCTTAATATTAAAAGCTGTTTTTTAAACTCATATAATTTGTCCTTAGGATGCTGTTGGGGAACATTATTTGATTCCTCAAAATGGTGAACTTTCCTGTCTTTCCAATTTGCTTGGATTTCACAGAAACCATTAACTATATGTCCATCAGGTATACTACATTCATTTCTGATTGTATGCATACTATGAATATTAGAATGATTACTGTATGCATTACTTTGATCACATGCTGAACTGGTCATGTTAATTTTTTTTTTTAGTTCTACATTCACATAACCAAATGTTGTTTTTGAAAAAGAGAAAACCTTATACTGAAATTTTAGC